CAGCTATAATAGTTAATGTCAGATGGATCTCCAAAGTAAGGGTATCAATCTGTACTCCAAACAGCGTTGTATGAATGGCCAGTTGACTGATATTCTCAACAACACTTGATATTTGTCTTTTTAAATATAAATCTTCTGATGGACACACAGTAATATCTGATTACAGTTTTAAGTTACATATCTTATTGAGTAAAGATATTTTATGTCTTCACAGAATTTTTTCATATGCTTATGGCTATTTGGTTATCATATTTGAGAAGTCATTTGCACATTTTCTATTGATTTGCCAGAAATATTTTATTCATTTGTAAGATGTATTTCTATTTTCCTGAGTATCAATCATTTGTTGAAATCATGTATTACAAATATCTTTTACCCCTCTAGGGCTTACCTTTTAATTTTCTAAATAGTGTCTTTTAAAGAAAAACTATATTAATTTTCATATAGTCTAATTAAGCCATATTCTTTTTTATACTTGGTAGGTTTGTTTCCTGTTTAAAAAATCTTTGCCTACCTTAAGGTCATGAAGACACTCTTCTGCGTTTTCCTTTAAAACTTTAGTTTTATCTTTCAGAATTAGCTTGAAAATCTGGTTAGGATTATTTGTGTGAGTTACCAGAGGTCAAGATTCATGTATTCTCACATGAATATTCAATGTTATATCATCATTTATTGAAAAGATTATAATTTATTTATTGTACTATAGTATCTCATTTGTCAAAAATAAGTGGGTATATACATATGGATATGTTTCTTGACTCTTTATTCCCTTTCCTGGTCAGCTTGTGTATATAGCATATATATATTTCCTATGCCAATACTACACTTTCTTAATTACTGTAACTTTATAATGAATCTTGATATCTGGTAATAGAAGCTATCCTATTTTGTGAGGCCCCTTAGGACTATCTTTGTTATTCTTAAACCTTGCATTTTCACATAATTTTTATAATCATCTTGTCAATATTGAATTAGAATTGCCTTGAATCTAAGATCAAGATGGGAAAAATTTTGCATCTTCTCATAATATTGCATCATTTAATTCATGATCATGGTATACTCCTCCATTCATTTACATTTTTCAAATTTTTTTTTCCAAATGTGTAGAGCTATTGAAAATAAGTTGTTAGATTTGTCTGTAAGCATGTGTTATAGTCTGATGCTATTATAAATTATACATATTTCTGTATATAGATACATATATATATGATTTTCTATGTGTTTCAGAGAACTTAAGTGCCAAAAAATTAAGACTTACTCTAAATCTAGAGAAATGAAATATGTTTAAAATTAGCAGTTAGCACAGGTTTGAAAATCAGATGAAGAGAACAAATTTAAGTGTATAGAAACAGATCCAGACATATATGGTCATTGATTTATAGCAAAGGTTCATAGCAATTCAGTGTGAAAATAATTATCTCAGTGGTGCTGGGTCAATAAGATATGCATATGAAAAAATATATAAACATTGGCTCCTTTTTTAAACAAGTTTTTCAAGATGGATCATAGCCTTAAAAATGAAAACTAAAGAAAAAAGTCTGTGGTATAAAACCTCCATGATCTTGGGTTAGGTATAGACTTTTTAAGTAAGCCACAGACATTCTTAATTATTTATTTTATGTATTTATGATGATATTTGGGTTTATATCTGCATTTCAGTATTTGTTCTATTTTTTCAATTGTAGTATGTTCCTTTTTCTTTTTTTCCTTGCCTTATGTTGAATTAATGAAGCACTTTTAATATTATTTCAACTCCTCTGTCTATAAATTGATAGTTAAATATTCTCTCAGTATCCTTTTAGTTGTTGCTCCAGATTTTAAAACATACATTTTGGATATGTCGGTGTCTAATATGAATTACTACTTTTACTTCTTCACAGACATTTAGTGGAACTTAAAACACTTTAATTCTATTTAATTCCCTCCACATATTGTATCATTGTTGTCATGTATTTTAATTTACATATATTTTAAATCTCATAGCTGATTATTATGATTGGCCTGCAAAGTTAATACTAATTTCAATTTACATATATATATACATACACTCTTTTTTGTGCTCTTCATTCTTTCCATTAGTTTTGCGCTTTTGTCTGGGATCATTTTCTTTATGCTTGATGATTATCTTTATTATTTCTTTTTATAGAAATCAGCTTATATAACTCATCTCAGTAATTGCTCATCTGAAAAATGTCTTTATTTTAACTTCACATTCCTCCCCTCCCCCAGCACAACAAAAATGTCATTCCATTTTCTTCTAGGCTCCTTTAAAAAATTTCTCTTTGTTTTTAGATTTCTGTAGTTTAAATATGATAACTAAATATGGTTCTTCTTTGTATATATCCTGGTTTAAGTTTGATGATTCTCTTGAATCTATGTGTTTGATATACTGATATCTTTTATCAGTCTTGGAATATTCTCAGACAATATCTCTTTAAAATAATTCTGGCTCCTTATCTCCCTCCTTCCTTTCTAGGACTCCAGTCAGATTTGTGTTAGCCCGTTTCACCATTTTCCACTTGTCTGTTATAATTCTTTTCTCCATTTTCTATCTGTTTTCTCTTATGCTCCAAATGGTATATTTCCTACTCTCCTTTCTTTCAGTTAATCAACCCTCTATTCATCTGGGTTCAATTTGCTGTAAACCCATCAAAGTTTTTAACATCAGTTATTATATCTTTATTTCTACAACTTCCATTTGATTACTGCTTCCTACTGATTACTTCTGTAGGGTGAATTTTCTATCTTGTCCCATACTCATGAACATATTAATCCTATTTCGGATGACTGTTCTTTTTCTGTTGCTTTTTTCCTCTTGGAAGAAATAATTTCAGGTTGAATTTCGGGGTTTAGAGAGGCTAGTATAATTCTAGTTTGTCCTTTGTAGGTGTCTCAAGAATCTAACCTGGTTTTGTACTGTTTACCATGGTTCCTCTCCTTGATAGTGACTACATTATATTTTACCTGTATCACTTAGATATTATCAAATAACTCAAGGTGAAAAAAGGCTCTCTATATTGTGCTACTTCTCCATGCTTCCCTGCTCTCTGGAATTTGACCTCATCAGTACAAACTGCCTTGGTAGCCCTGAAAGCAACTTTTATCTTCCCAGCCTTGTGAGTCCATAAGAGCTGTTCAGCCCACACATTCTGTTCGGCCTTCTACTGGGAAACAAAAATCTGACCTCTTATATAATGTGATATAGTTGGCAAAGTGCTCAAGGGAAAACACAGCATAAAATCTTGGGCTCACTGCAATGAATTTCTTATCTCTCAAGAAAAGAACTATGGCTTCTCAAATCCTCTTGATAGTTTTCTCATTCTCCTCTTCCTCCTTCTCTCCTTTTCTCACTTGCTCACTCACTCGCTCACTCACTCTAAATATATATGTGTATATATGGTTTGCTGCAAGCTAATTCATCATAGCCTCAGGCATAAGCCCCCCCAAATTTTATTTCTATAAAATGCAAACAACTTCAACTGGCTTAAATTGGCCTGTATCTTTCCAGTTCCAAATGAAGAGTATTTAGAAGATCGAATGTGGTCAAAAGGCAATTCTTAAGGAGATAATAGCAAAGAGTATTAGGTTAGAGCAGTGGTTCTTTAAGTGGTCCTTGTACCTGAGCATCAGCATCACCTGAGCCAGGGGTTTAAAAGTTGTAAAAGTGGAGGTTGAGACTTAGGAAGTAATGTTTGTGATTTTGTGGTTAAGAAACATAACTGCATTGACAAACATTTATATACCTGGAAACTTATCATTTAATCACATTTTTTACTTTAATTTCAATTTTATAGGAAATAGATGAAAAATCCCATTGAAAAAATATTACAATCTAATCACTGCTAATGTTTTATCAAACCTGATGATGTAATCCAAATAGCTTCATTTTTTACCCCTTTGAGTCATACTCCAAAGCCTCTCCTACTACTCTATCCCCTTTAACTTTACCCTATTTTTTTTCCCTTGAAGCACAATGCATAACCTGTGACTTTCTTAGAAACACACATTTTGGGGCTCAACCCCAACCTACTTAATCAGAATCTTTGGAGGTGGTGCCTGGAAAACTATTAAAACATGCTCACCAGGTGATTATTATGCACATTAAAGACTGAAAGCCACTGGGCTATCAAAAGAGAAAGCTAGAAAGAAATGTTGTAAATTTTAATCGCAGTGTCATCTTATCTTTTTAAATTCCTTTGTATTCAAAAGGCTAGTATAGTGCTGGTCATATTTTAGGTACTCAGAAAACATGGCTGAAGGTAGGACTGTCTGGTTGAATAATTGAAATCATTTAATGAAAGTGTTTATCCTCTAGAAACCATCTTCCTCATTTACAAAACTACAAAAATGGCTGTGTACATTATAAAAGAAAGTCTTAAATTTCTTATTCATCATCTAAACGTACAGAAATTTCACGTAACCATAATGTGGCCAAAAAAAAAAAAAAAGTGATGCTCATAATGATATCCCCAAAGTGTTACAAAAATATGAACTCAATTGACAAATAAAGTATACTCAATTGTGTTTAGATTGGCCTCTGTTTTATATGTATGACCAGTATGTTGCCTTTGGAAAAGAAAAGCCAAGATTTCAGGCTGAGAAAGGAAGAGGGCATTAGCATTTTATAGGTTGGTTGAGAATGTGTATGTTCTAAGTTATTTTGAGAATGCCATTAATGCAATTTGAGAAAACCTTTTGCTGGAGGTGCCAATAAGGGAAGGTTAAATCCAAAAAAGAATCCCCAAGAAATGAGATATTAAGTAGGAGTGAAAAATAATTTGCAGTAAAATGAAAATAATCGAAGAAATGTGTCAGAGAAGGTGAAATGATAACAACAACAAAAACAAGGAACAAAAAGTAGAATAAAATAAAAATGTCAAACATTTAAAATTAAAAAAAAAAAAGTAAACAAAACCAAAAAGATATCTAAACAAAACCATGACTTTTTAGGAAAAATCACTGGCTCTATAAGGTAGAGGGGAGATGGGAATCAGTCCTACCTCTTCCAATTGCACCATGAGAGTAACATTGTGCCCTTGTTCTGCTGTCAGCTTTCCATCAGCGGTGATGATCCGGAGCCCTCGTGGGGCCTTCCCTGGACACTTTTGTGGTTTGGCAGTGTACCGTTCTCTCACTCCATCAGTGCAATTATTGGAAACCACCTTTCTATACCTAAGTGGAGAAAAGCTCAAGTTGTAATCCAGCTCATTAAAATTCAGATCACTCTCAATTTTTTAAGCCAAACCTACTGCATACTTCTGAGGGCTATCAATAACTATATATCTTGTTGCTCTTAAGATTACAGCGAATTCATATAAAGCACCCCAAAGAGAGACAAATCATCATAGTAACATATTGTACCTATTACTAGCACAATCAATGAATCTTTTCACTTCAGAGCTGTGGGAAATGCACAAAGTGGAAGACACGGTCCTTGTCCTCACTAAGTTTATAGTCCAGTTGAAGAGGCACATGTGGATAATCTAGGAGATACTTTAAAGTCTAGATAATTAAGGGTTAGAATGAGTAATATATATTGCAAGGTAATTTGCAATTCAGAGAAAGAATGAATTATTACGGATTGCATGATTTAACATTAGATCTCATAGAAGATTCTGTAATAATGTCATAATGCAGAAAGTTGGCTAAATTGGATAGTTTCTACTCAATATTTCATGAGGGGTTAAACTGGCTAAACCATTGAAACATTGTATTGAGGAAACCAGTTTGCAGACTGAGTAAATTCTTCTTACTCTTTTTGCTTATTTCTTCTTGTTTTAGCTTTAACAAAAAAAAAAATGTTATTCTACAAATTTACCTTATATTATCGATCAGATTCATAATAAATCATGAATTTATTATGTGGTTTTAGGATGACTGACTTCTAAGGTTTTTGATGTTCAGTGTTATCTATTCATGATCTTTTTGTGAGGGACCCATAGTAACCACTTTATGTATTCCTGTATTTGATTTTCCAAGTCTGTTGTCTAGAATTAGCGATAGAGCTCAAACTGAAAGCAAAGCCCAAGATCTAGACCAGAAGTTGACAAACTTTATATAAAGGGCCAGATAGTAAATGTTTTTGCTTTGTAGGCTATATGGTCTTTATCACAAGTACTCAACTCTTTGGTTGTATCATGGAAGTGGCATAGAGAATGTGCAAAAGAATGGATGCAGCTGGGCTGCAATAAAACTTTATTTATAAAAACTGGCAATGTGCCAGATTTAACTTGAAGGCTATTGTTTTCAAATCCCTTCAAATATAGTTAATGTCCTTTCCCCTGTTCCTGAGTCTAAAAATTGACTACCTAAATACACGATTGAGAAAAGTCAAATTAGACACTGCCTGGGAAAGTGCTTTGAACACTATGAATAACTACCAGCTCAATTATGAATCGTTAAATCACTTTGTAGGGCAATTGCATGGACTAAATGGATTAATGGACACACAGAATTTAAAACCGCCTTGACAATTAGCAAGTGCTTATGAAATGTTACCAATTATTTTTATTTACTATTAGTATTACTTCTCTTCATGACTTTTGTAGCTTCCAAAAGAACTTGGGATAGGTCACGAATCCCATAATCTCATGCCTGAAGCCTTCAACAAGCTAACTTCATTCTACTTTTCTGGAATCTTTCTTCCCAAGCTGATTCTGCTTGAGCCACACCTCTCTTTTTAATTCTCTAGAAAGTACTTATTTTCTTTTGCTCTTTCTGCTTCTATGTCCTGCATGCTCTATCAGCTGCCTAAAACTTACCCTTTAAGTTACAGCTTATCTCCTGTCTTTTCTTAACTATGATAGTAAAATAGTAAGAAGGTCACGTTTATAGAGTGATTACTGCTCTGGGTTAGTCCTTGTGTTAAGTTCTTAACATGACTGTTCTCATTTATCTTCAAAACATCTCTAATAAGGAAAGTATTACTTATTCCCAATGCACAGATGAAGAAAATAAGATTCATAGAAGTTAACTAGTTTTCTCGAGATCGCACAGCCAGGACCCCAGACAATTTGTCTCTAGAATGCATTCACTCTTTACCACTACACTGTACTGTCTCTTTAAATGAAGTAACACCATCTCTCTTGTAAACTCTTAAAGGAATCCTTATGATTTATTTATGCCTTATGCCGTATATGATTGTCTTCCTGCACATGTCTGTGAACTTTTAGCTCCTTGAAGGCATCCCTGTGCCCCAGGCATTCAAGGCTGATAATCAGGAGATCCACACAGGGATGTCTATTCCATTTTAATGTTGAAATATCTGCATAGCAGTTGGTTATTACCACTATCCCAAACCCTCCAAGCACCTCATCCACCAATCCAGCTGTGCCGATCCCTATGTTTGGAATCCCTGCTTCTCCTTGCAATCCAGCAACTAACCAGTTAATACCTAACACCTAGCACAGCAGGCAGCCTCCAAACCCCTGCTCAGGCACTGAGATCCCCACCCATTCTGACTGGTCATTGTCATGCCTGGGTATTTTTAACATCAACCCATCTGACACTTTTTTAAAAATCCATTGTAGGTGCTTATGAGTTATGCTGATTAAAAGAGAAAATAATGGCAGGCAGGAGAAAGAAAACAAAAAAGATGCCGACATTGGAGAATGGTGGCATTTTCTAGTACCAGCAGTGGTAGCAAGAAAATGACCATCAATGTCACACAGTAATTATGGCATCCCAGTGAGTTTAACTGTGCATCAGAAACCCCCTGCATGTTTCAGAAGCAAGGCACTATGCAAATGAAAGGCAGATTATGATTTTTAATCACTTAGCATCTAAGCACACCTGTGACTGTCTTGGAGAGCAGCTATAGAGGTATGGGCTCACCATCACCATTGCCATCATCAGCTAGAGAACATTCCTTTTGTTTGTCGCTGCTCTGACCAATCATCGCCCCAGGCTTTCCTGAATCCTGTAGCAACAGGAGTCCTGTTTAAATCCAAAGCATGAATCCATTCCCCCTGGGATTCTGCCACAGAGAAGACTGTTGGTAATTTTTTTAAATGCTCATTAAAAATCATTCTGAAATCATTTTATTTCCTGGATGAAAATGGCATCACATTAGCCCTACCAGACCTGTCCCTGAAATTTGGAAGAAAATTGTGCAGAAATACAGAGTTAATTTACTCAAGTAAGCACACACCTGCTTTTTGCATTACAGAATGGTTCTATTTTCATCCCAGCAGCTGTCCCTGGGTCTGAGTTACATAAATGAATAATGCATTTAATATGTTATTAAATGGCACTGCTACCTCCACAATAACAAGGCAACTTATGATTATGTTGGACCTAAGCTCTGAATATTACTTGGATGCATTTAATTGGTAAAGCATTCTTCAATCTACTGAGAAGGAAAGAGCTCTGTAATGGCAAGGGAGTCTGTACAATTACTGAAAAGGAAACATTCTGCAAATGTGCCTTCGATATTACCGACCGCTCATCAGTAGATAGTGTCTTATTACTTCAATAACCCCAATTTCAGCTATTATCTTCCTTCCTATCTTGATACTCCTCTGTCACCTTTCCCTTTTTACCTATACTTTCTTTATTTTACTTCTGTGCTCCCTGCCAGTTTAAAAAAAAAAATATGAAGGCCATAGTTTTTCTTTGTGAGAGTAAAATTGTGATTTTACTATTTAGTAGTTTTTTTTTTTACTTGTAATTTTGGGTATAATACAGATGTTTATGACTATTCATTGTACATTAAAGTGACACTATAATCTAGTTCAGTGGATCACAAACATGTCTGGTTTTTAGAATTACTTGGTGGCACTTTAAAAAATAACTGAATGTCAAGACCTCATATCTAGGAATTATGATTTAATAGAGAACTCTGGGCATCAGTGTATTTAGTTTTTATTTTCATTTGAAATTTCCTTGGTGATTCTAGCATGCATACGGACCACTGTCCTGGTGGTTAAAACTAATGTTGTGGAATCAGATTGCCTTGTTTAAATTCAGGCTCTTACATATTATATGAACTTGGGCAGTTTACTCAATCTCTCTCTAATATTTGGGTTTTCTACCTGTAAATTAGGGAAAATGATAGAATCTTCTTCATAATGTACTTGGGAGGACTAAATGAGATAATGCATTCAAGAGTTTGGCATGTTATAAGAACTTAGTAAATGTTAAAATATCAAAAGTTAGTAAAAAGTATTTAAAATATTAACGTTAATATGTTATTATAAAGCAAGTTTCCTGAAAATAGAAGCTATACTATTATTGTCAAGATTATCTTATGATCAAATTCAACCATGTCTATTCTTTTCTTAAAATCATGGGCTTATTCACAACGAGTCAAGTTCAGGTGTAAAGTAGGGGTCTATGACCTGGTTGCTATGCAGTTTCATAGCCTCAACTATTTCTCCTGCCCAACACACTTCCTGAGCTCAGGCAACACTGGTATATAAGCCTGCAAGTCTATAGGCTTTTGACTGTTCATTCTGCCCAGAATGTTCTTTCCTCCTGTCAAGCTTCTACTCATTCTTTAAAAATCACCTTAGAAATCATGTTTTTTTTCTCTGTAAAGCGATCTCTTCTCTTTTTTCACAGTAGTTATCACATGCAATGACCAAGGTAGAACTGGAACTCTAGGTCTGCTTGTAGGCAAAGCCAGTCTTATTGTCACTGAGCTATGGTGTCCCTCATTTGCGATCACAGTGAAAAGAATCTACACAGTTTAATATTTTCAGATTGTACTATATGCCTTTGATTTCAAGAGAAAACTGCTTTGTTACAAGGATATTTGACTTAACCAAACAAGAAATGGAGCAAGCCTTCAGGAGAGAATAGGGGGCTGCTTCTGGGTACAGTGTATGGCTAAGACTTAAAACCTTCCTAGACTCGATGTGCCCATTTTTCAAAAATAATCCTATGTAGTAGCCAAAATGCCAATATTCAGAAAGAATTGAGTTCCATGGCTGACTAAGCAGGTTCTCCAAGTTTCTCTTCTCAAGACAACAATTTTAAGGATTTTTCCCTTAAACTGAGTAAGCAAATCTTGGAATTAGGGGATTGCCATGAGACAGAAGGCTAGGTGAAGGGAGGAAAAAAACTCTTCTTGCATTAAACAGGATAAAAGCACAAGTCATTTAATTTGAACAGTAAATGGAATGTGACTTTGTTTTAAACGCCAACTTGATGAAATGGGACCTATAGCCATG